CCACAACATAGACCCTATCCGCCGGGAGTGAAACCACATTTATCTGAAAATGAAAAGAACAATTTCCGAGGCTGACAACCCTCTGTTGTCGCACTCTAAAAGCTGATGCATCTTGACGAAGGCACACTGGTGATGCTCCTGAATCTGTTCTGTATGCATAAGGTAGTTCATACTGTTGGAAGAGTTCCTATAACCTTTTGTCCAAAACTGCCTGCATGCATGAGCAGTGAGCACGTAGCTGATACTGCCGTGTGCATCCGTGCCATTTGTACTGCATATGCTTCCAAAGAAGAGGATATCCTTGGTGGTGAAGTTGGCGAGTAAAGTGTCTGATGGCATTCGAGTCCCCCCCTTCTGTCCTCTACTGGGACTACGGCGACTTTGCATCTGCTTGCTCAGTTCTTCAAGGTCTGCCCACAAACCACTATCGTATTTACAACAAAATATGTCGCGTACCTTCCTCCCTTGTCGCATCATCCTCTCACTGACAGCCACTTCGCGTTTCCTGACGCTCCTCTACGTTCGCCACAAGAAGTTTTCTTCCTCCCCTGTTCCTAGTATCCTCCACCTTCCTCTTCTTCCCTTGTTGATCCTTTCAAGGCTTCTAAATTAGGGGGTTGCTGGGAGCAAATCTCCCTGCACCTGCTTCTGGAGGGTGCCCCTCACTTGGCTGCCAGAAAACTGCAACTTATTTTCAATTGTTCTTTTTTTATTGATTCAATAGAATGAAACTTTGTACTTTAGCTCGCTAGAACAAGTCGGCCTCGGGAAGATGAGCAATGGTGGCATGGTTCTATGTTGTGGTAGTGTGCGAACCAAAGCAGCTGCACTCCACACCACCTGCTACAGTGCTATGCTATAAATGTTTTCCATGCTGATTAAGGAAATTATGTCATGTAAAATTGTAAACCAAGTTTTTCAGCATCGTCTCGGTACGTCTACATGACCTGGACAACAGCCCTTTTCACCCTCCTTCTGTTGAATCTCCTCACCCTGTCACTGCCTGTGCCGCAATCTCCTCGGCGTGCTGTGTGCATACGAAAAGTTGCCACAAGGAGTAGGAATGCAGCAACTAGTACTGTCCAGGGGATCAAGAACATCCATTTGGGGAGGAGGAGTTGTGCCTCCAACCTTTTTGTATCTGATTGGTCTGCTAGTGCCGCATGCTTCACCCTTGTGGGGTCTATATCGAGTCTTTTCATCACCACCCCGAAACCAACTTCGACGTTTCCGTTTCCGTTTCCGTTATGCTGGTCACGATCCAGCCGGCTTTCCCTGCCAATCGCATCTCGCATGGTCACGTCAAAGTGTCTGGTGCTTCCAGGTTCTGTCCTCCTAGCTATTTGCAGGAGTGATAATTGCGCATCAATTCCCTCAGCTTCTGCACCAACCTCTCTGATGAGAGGTTTGTCCAAGCCGTTCCATGCTGCACGCGGTAGGGATCCCTTTTCCTTTGCATGCTCTGGCAGAGAAGATCTCCCATCCTTTCTGCCGTCTATCTGACCAACCGTTCTGCCCTCACGAAGCAACTCAAGCGCTGACCTCACTTGATCACCGCCTACCTTGCTTGCATGGGAAGATTTACTAAGAATGTAGGAGTCATGATTTCTCCAGGCCGTGGACTCTCGGCCCCGAGATGATCCTTTCCCCAACCTGTGAAGTCCATCACCAAAGAAAGGCCCTTGGTTCAGAGTACTTCCTTGTTGTTTATCAAGCAACTTCTGCACTGCGATGATGTCAACACCGTTCATCTGGGTTCTGGACGATTTATCATCGGAGGATTCACCCAAATTTTCCCGACTGCCTGCCTTCCGTCTTATAGATTTGTCATACAACGTGTGGACGTCCTCATTCGCAGTTTTATCCCTTGTGAAGGGAAAGGCATCTTCCACGTGCGCCGCACTGCCACCGTGCCTCTCCATGGAACCTTTCCCAGTAGTGACGCCCTTATCGGAAACTACATTACCCATTCCTCTTTCTCCAGGGCCCTTGCCAAGGCTACCCATCAGCCCCTTTTCGTGCTTATCACCTGCTGCTGTAGTTGTTTGGCTTCTAACTGTCTCTCGACTATCTTTCCGCGAATGTGCGTTACCTGATGTCATTATTGGGATTTTGCCAGTGGCCATTTCTTGGATCTCTTTTCCTGACGGCGGATTCCCTGGATTCGCCACTCTGGTCTGCTGGTCACGCGTGCTGATTCCGGAAGATGTTACTCCTGCTGTTGTGACCCCGTCGCGATCAAGATGAGCAACGCTGCCGTGAATGTTTTTCCCAGCTTTGGCTGTGAATGACCTCGCTCCCTTCGTCCACAGGTCCTCAGTGTGTGCATCCCCTTGAACCGCACTATTGGGATGACTGACCTGGAAGAGGTTGTCGGACAAAAATGCTGCCACTTCAGGATTTTGCAACGCTGAAGACTCCGTGTCGTTGATATTGCCATCAACGAAATCGGGGCCTGGCAGTGCCTTACCCTTACTATCTGGGGGTCTAAGGGGTCTACCGGGGCCATTGCCACCTTCGTTTCCGACATCCAAATGTGTCACATCATCGGCTGCACCCTGACGTCTTCTTCGTAGTATCCAAACACTCTCTTTCTCTTTTCTTGTCACCCTTGGCAACAAAGCTTCGATGCTCCCTTTGTCTTTTCTTCTTGCCCGTTGCAGAGTAGACCGATCCAATTGATGATGCCCCACAGAATCTTTCCCACTGTTTCTGTTGAGGTTCTTGGTACTCTGGGCATTTCCAGAATAGGACAACCCTAACACGACATCATTGGTTTCAACAGGAAAAGACATGTCCTCTCCTACCTCCCTCGCTCCTTTCTGACTGTTGCTTTTTGCTAGCGTTTTGTCATCCCCTGCAGCATTAACATTGAAGCCATAGCTGATGGGGCTTGAAGAGCTGGACTGTATGGAACCGGAATTGGCACGTGCACTTCCCTGGCCATGGGCATCGCTTGTTGTATTGATCTCCATCCCTATGCCCATGACCTCGTTGGCTCTACTCACTGTCTTCCTTTTGCTGAAGTTACATGTTGTAATCACCGCTGTTATGGTTGATGGACTCTGGCCATTGCTTTCTCCGGCATTCAATAGACCTCCACCGTCAAGTGATGCTTGTGCCGAGGATGCGGGAGAACAGCTCCTCATGTAGACTTCTCGAAGACCTTCATTTAGCATGGCAGCACACACTGCTGCCACACCATCTTCTCGGTTTCGGTAAGAGGAGTTAGTGGCAGGTGCTTGGACACGTCTTCGCTCGGGTATTTGTTGATCCGAAACATGTGTCGTATCAACCGTGCCGTAAGCGCCGTTGGTGAAACTCCAGCTTCCCGTTCCAGCTGATGAATCACTCCCACAATGAATCGCCAAAGGTAGTGATCCTGTCTGAGCAACTTGTCCTCGATAAACTAGTATGTCAGATCTGATCACGTGCTGAAGGTTAACCTGTGCCAACAACGCCAGACCGATAATCATCACCACATTCAAAGTCGGGAGCAGGGTAAGTTGTTGCATTACTCCATTTCCAAAATGAATCATCACTTTCAGTTTCACCATCGTCATAATGGTCACCATTGTTGGCATCACCATGCTTTACTCTCATCGTCAGTGCGACCTATCATCATCCTGTTCGTTGTCATCGCCACCTTCGACATCATCGTAAGCATCATAACAGTTCTGATGTGTGCACTGGCGCACTCAACAGAACAAGTCAGCCTGAGAACACAGAGAAGCCATTGGTAAAGGTGAAAAATTGCAGAGAGAGTTCGGAGGACAGCATATCCTGTGAGCTGCTGAAAACAGCAAATCCTTTTTTTCCTTCTTCTTTTTTCGTTACCTTATGGTCCCCTGCCCATGAAACGTTGCAATGCAGACCTGAGTTCGAGTCCAGATGGAAAATTAGATGACCAAAATTCCTGACTTACCTGCGGCTGGTCAGTTTCGCGATGATATCCTTAAGTTAACGGCTGTCACCTTTTTTTAAAAGAAAAAGGTCCTTATGGTCCTGCCTCCCTTGTCCATTTTGGGGAGTGTCAGTCTGGCTCAAATCCACCAGCAAGTTGAATATCAAGTGCATTCCCTCTCATTTAGGCCGAAGAACCCCTGACCGGCATTGATTGCTCCTTCAAGAAGGATTGACTATCAAATAGCCTCTACTACTAAGTTCCTCTCAATCTCAGCACGTGCAGGGACTGCCGCTGCCATGTTATCATAACGACTTCCAAGAGCCTATAGATCTTCAAGATGTGACCCATGCTGTAATGAAGCTGCCAATTCCTCGGGGAATCCCGGCAGTGACTTTGAGAATCGGTGGCGGATGTATTCTGTCTCCCACTCTGAACGCTGGTTGGCGCGACAATCTGTTTTCCAGGATGCACTGTTTTCTACACCCCTTCTTTTCCTTTCTATGCAGGGTTCGTCTACAAACGATTAGTTTCTGAATGGTCGGGCTATCTCCGGTGGTTTTGCGAAGTTCGTACTATCATGTCCCTTTTTCTTTCTTCTTTTTGCAATTAGGATAGCTGAAGAATTTGTTTTCCTTTCCGTTTTCTTTTCGTGCGAAGTTCGTAGGATTCTCTTAGTCTGATGTGCAAATTCCAAGTATCGAAATAGAAATGCCGTCCGACTTGCTTCTCAGCGGTTCACCAGACAAGACTTCCGTGAGTTTTTTTCATTTTGCATCATCTTCTTGAATCTCGTTCTGTGCATGCGCGATTTCTTGCGACTTTCTGAGATTGCTTGCAGTGCTCTTAAACCACCAGTACATGCCATACATCGAATGCGGGCCTCTTTTGGAGGCTGAAATGCAATGCCAGCCGCTGATGTATTTTATCAATGGCGCGCAGGCTCCAACGTTTTCGGAGTAGGTGACGAACAATTCTCCACAAGGCTGGGGCCATGTACTACCGTCTTCACCCGAATAGAACGCCCGGTAATTATTGCCATATCTGGACTGAAAGTTGCACCAAATACAGCTATAATGACCGGGCGTTCTATTCAGGTTAAGACGGTAGCGGTCTAACCCTCCCACATCCTATCTTGACAAATTCTTGTTCCACCTTTTTCCGCTATCTTTCAACTGTCTTTCCCTCATCTTCTTTTCTTGTTGTCCTTGCTCTATATTATTCCCCCCTCCTTCTTGAAGGAGCCCCCTCCAAGGGTTCAAGAGGCTGGAGCCCCCTCACAAGTTTTATCAAGTCCGTACATTCATGTTCTAAATATTTTCTGTAAGGAACGCTGGACCCGTTTTCCAGCTAGTGTTGCTCGGACTTGCTCCCCACCGACAGGATGCTAGGTGTCTGCTCTTATCAGCACCTCCAGCACACCTTGGGTTGTTAAAAAAAAAAAAGAGAGAGAGAGAGAGTTTTAAGCAAAAGTTGCAGGAGACTTTGCTTTTCTCCATTGCTGCTTTTCCTGTGTCCGAGTGCATGCCAGATGACTGAGTCGCGTGCATGGCCTTGGTTGTGAGTGTCCAAAGTGTGTGTTGATTGCTCTGCCAGGCGGAAGTCAGACGCGTATGGATGGAATACCTGATCATATGGTGTTTTCGTTACACTCTGCCTCTTGCACCAGCCGCAGTGGCAGTATGAATGTATCCGTAGCACCGTGGTTTGTTCATGTATGGATGACGATGAATGCATGTTAGAGCTCAGTAAACTCTCTCTCTTTTTGGTTGTAATTCTAATTCAAGTTTTACTTGTGTTTCTCATCCTTCTGCAAAAGTGGTCCGTGCTCGCTTACTTCTTGTCTTACCCGGATCTCGAGCTCTAACTAAGTTGTGTGCATGGAGTCCGTGTTTTCGACCCTGGGTTTCAACGTGGGCGGCTGCCCGTGCTCGAAACTCGTCACGACCCGACATAGCAGCCTCAGCCAGTTCCCCGTAGTAGACAACTACTCTGTCTACTGCAATGCGGACGTGTGGAGTTCCCTATCAGGAACCGACAGGGTTCACTTCTACAACCCATCCAAAGCTTGTCACTTTGGCGGGGACGAGTTTGTGCTGATAGACTTTTTCGCCGCACCCCAACTTGTCTTTAGCTACACCGATCTGACCGTTTTGCCCTGGTCGGCCACACACGCCATGTGGAAGCCCCAGTTCAACTGATGGTGGTGCAAAATTGGTAACTCGTGCTCGTGGCGATGGTTGGTGCTGGGATACCAGGGCGTGCTCCAATTCCCGAAGCACAGCCGTGCGGCTGGGGCCCTTCTGGCGAACTTCTGCGCACCTATTCCCCCGCCACATCCGCCATCCCATAGCAACGAGTCTGATTAATCGAGACAGCCCCTCCTGGCAGACCTGTTCCTTCGGACCGACCCGAGGCACTCCAACCCCTTGTTCCCATTCCGGTCTTTTATTGTCATTCGTTTGTTTCTGGCAGCTGTAAGGACCTGCCAAAACACGGACTGAGAAGTTGTGAGAACACTGTTCATTTCTGAGTTTTGCCGCTGGAATGTATGCCTTGCTGAGATTCCCGCGTTCCGCTGAGTTTTCTAAGTCCGTGTGTGTGCGCGCTTGCTGGTCCGTGTGCCTGTCTGAGTGCTTGTCAGCCTGAGTGTGTGTGTGACCCGCCAGGGCACTTGTTTGTTTGGGAGGCCCGTGGGGGCGGTACTTATCTGTGACCGTGACTTTGGGGGTTGCAGCGGGGTAAAACACTCAAGTGGCCGAAGGGGTAGCTCAGGGCACACTCAAGTAGCGTAGTGTTGATACTGGTAGCACTTGAGTAGCGGTAGGCCGAACAGAAGAAGACAGAAAGCTAGCACCTTTAGGGGTAGAAGTCTGGTAGTGTAGGTATAGGGCCTGTAGAAGTAGATATCAGGTCTGCAATGATGTTTCCCGCCGAAACGGAGGAGGTACCGGTTGCTTGGGAGGCCGAACGGCCTGGAACTCACCGCCCAAGAGGCTGGTAGGCCGCTATATCTCAGGGAGGAGCGAGTTGGTCCTCCTCATTTGCTGCGTGCAAGTTTGGGCGTCACGCTGCTGGAGCGCCTGCAGGAGCGCTAGTAGTGTGCAGCACTGGGGGAAGAGGAGCGCCCAGTCCTCCATCTTCGGCTATGGTGGAAGGGACTGGGTAGGAGAAGAAGGAAGAAGGGGACTAGGGAGGAGAGCGCCAGGGGTACTTACCTGGCTATGGTAGGTGCCATCTTCATCTCCTTGGTAGGCGCAGCATCTCGAAGGCCCCTAGTGGGGTAGTGTCACATCAAGAAGGCTTCAAGGCAGAGTCAGGCATGGGGGCCTGAAGAGAGGAGGACAAAGCTGCTTTTGCGTTGTCTTTTGAACATCGGGCAAGGCCCTTAGTAGTCCGCCATAGCCCAGACCTGTTGGAGGTGGAGGAAGATGGAGGTCATCTCTATGGTGGACCTCATATTGTGCTGGCAGTAGAAGAGGGATTTGGACATTGGCTCAGCCATTATTGTTTGAATAAGAGACGCGGAGACAAGGGGGGCAAGTTGGTTGGCGAGAGAAGGGGGAATTGTCCTTGGTCTTTTGCTGGTGTACATCTTCTTCATCTTTCTTTCTTCTTCTTTGGTCTCTCTCTCCTCTCAAGTTCATTCATTTCTTTTTTGCAATTGGATGGCATTGAATTTCCTTGTGTATCTGCACTTCGGAATTGGCAAGGATCGTAACACAGCCCTTTTTCGGGCAGGAGACGGATCTTTTTCAAGTTTTTCTTGATTTTGTTTTTGTCCTTCTCCAGGGACCATCCCTAGCTGACACAGGGAATTCTGGTTTTGCCCTCGGATTTCTCCCCCTTGCCCAAAATCCTCGGCCACACCCCAAACTCTCATCGGCGTTCCCCCTATGGGTACAGAACGCAGCGTAGCGCGTGAGGTTGTGTATCACACTGCAACATCAGGATCCGCCCAACCAATCAAGCATGGTGGGCTTCAACAGTCAAACTCTGAAGGTGACCAGGGTGAACAGCAGGTCAAGGTAGTGAAAAACCATACTGGTAGACTCAGGTAGAGAGTCAAAGGAGTATATTGCATGAACTTGGGCTCCCTTCTTCAAAAAGAAAAAAGACCATTGGACCATTTCTCCATTAGTCAGTATCACCCTTGAAGTACAGTATACTCAGGTTCCAGTCAATTGCCTAGGAGGCTATGAATCCCCTTGACCAGCGACCGTGCCAACAGTGACCGCGGTCTACAGTCTTCCCCCAAACAAAATGCACGTGCGTTATTTACGAATAGAACACATGGGGCGCGCTGTATTCATATACAACGCACGTGCGTTATACGACGGATATAGGGTATCAACTTCCAACCTCCCCCCCCCCCCCCCAAAAAAAAAAAAAATATACCTCGAACAGGTACCTCCAGTCTTCCCACAAACAGGACCTTCAGGTAAGGCTCCGAGAGAGAGAGAGAGAGAGAGAGAGAGAGAGAGAGAAGGCTGTCTCTTATACACATCTAGATGTGTATAAGAGACAGGTGCTCACGAGAGAACATCCGGGGGCTGCTCACCTGCAGGTGGGCGATACCAGACAGGGGACAGCCGGTAGCATCAGGGACCATGCCAACAGGACCAATCCCTGTGCCTCCCCTCAGGTCCCCTCCCCTACGAACATCAGCAGACTCTGCACAATGCCAATCGGGAGATCCAGTCATCTATCTCTAGGTGGTGGGCGACAAGCATGCTCAGGAAGGTACACGAGGCCAATGGGAATTGAACCCACAACCTCCTGAATGCCACTTGTGAGCCTTGCCAACTGAGCTAGGCCACTGGATGCAACCAACTTTTGGATATGGGTCAGACGACTGGCCGAGGTTGGGGTATAGCCCTGTGATCCAGTTGAAGACTGAGGCTGTCGAGGAAGGAAGGCACTCCATTCTGTTATAACAAGGAGAGTCGGAGCTGGGGCGGGTTGTGCTGCCCTGTAACCCTAGCTGAAAGGAACCACCAGTACTTGGCCCAGCTATCAATGCCGAGCCTGGAATGCCCCTGCGCGCCAATATTTGCCGAAGCGCCGGGGTACCATTTTGATTTTTTTTTGGCTGGAGCTTCCAGCCATTCTGGTCCGGTATCCCGAAGCCCTTAAGGCTCGGTGCGTTAACGGGAAAGCGCTGTGGCGGATAGCTGGGCCAAGCACTGGTGGTTTAAGTTACGAGGACAGATATTCATGATTCTTCCCAGGACTTCTTCGTCTTCTCAGACTGTTCTCAGGCGAAGCCGGGTAATGGCCCCGGTATCTCAATGGATCTCAAACAAACTGTACAATTCAATATGGGACGCTGGGCCTGGTTCCCAGCACGTGCTGGTCCCCACGAATAGATTGGAGCACTTGTTTTCCAAAAAAAAGAAAATCTCGGCCCGGTTCCCAGCACGTGCTGCTCCACACGAATAGATTGGAGCACTTGTTTTCCAAAAAGAAAAGTAAAAAATCCAGTGGCCTAACTCAGTTGGTAAGGCACGCAAGTGGCATTCAGGAGGTCGTGGGTTGAATCCCCATCGGCCTCATGTACCTTCCTGGGCATGCTTGGCGCCCGCCACTTAGAGATAGACCACTGGATCCCCCGATCGGCATTGAGCAGAGTCTGCTGATGTTCGTAGGGGAGGCACAGGGATTGGTCCTGTTGGCATGGTCCCTGATGCTGCCAGCTGTCCCCTGGCTGGTATCGACCTGTTCTCTTGTGAACACGGTTCTGGCTGCTACCGGGTTCCCCGTATGCCTACAATTAGGAGTAGTGGTAGGCAGGTAGTGTGAGGTGAAATTGAGAGAAGAATATAGCTTTAAAAACACAGAATTCCTGGAAATAAAAAGAGAAAACAGAAAATCAAACCAACACATACCCCTTGGAAGTCAACCCCACTTTCAACCAACCCATGTATACTGCCATTACAAGGCACTCTGCCCATGGCACATTCAAATATAATGCCCGGGCGGGTTATCCGAGCATAACGCCTGGGCGTTATATTCAGAGAAAGTGAGTAAAAACAAAAATATGATATTTTTAGAGTAAATACTAAATAGTACTAAATACTAAATTGAATATAATGCCCGGTTGTTATTTTCGGGTGAAGACGGTAGTGACGTTCTTCCTGGGGCTCCAGCACATGGCCAGCAATGGTGATTATGCATACAACTAAGCTATCGAAAGAAATTCCAATTAAACTCTCAACGCAAAATACAACATTCGATCTGAAATTGTTCCTGATGATTTCTCACATTAATTATTCTAGTTCTTAGTTTAAATTTATGCATTAAATGAATTAATAGGTCTTTTTTTTTTTTTCAATTGTCTGTCAGATGAAAATAAATACACAACTCAGATCACCCACACCATGGTCTAACCTAAACTTCCAGAAAGTAGTCAAAATAAACACGCCATTCTGCTCGTCTGGTAGGGCGCTGGTTGATTAGGGTTGCTTGCGTGGACGCCTGGCTGGCCTGCTGGCGCTTCATCTGGAAACGTCCTTTGGTTGGTGACTCGCATGACAGGAGGTCAATCCTTCTCCACTGGGGGAGCAATCAATGCCTCCTGAGCTGTTACGAATAGTCGACGGTAGTTGGAGCAATTTGCATGGAGCGCACAACGATTACAGTACTTTGGAACGGGAAAAAAAGAAAAAAAAAGAACAGTACATGGAAACCGTTTACACAGAAAGCACACAGAACCCTCTAGCACTTAGGGCACAATACAGCTCTGTTTACAAAGCTCTAATGTTGTACAGGGACGCTGGACCCGATTTCGAGCAGGTGCTGCTCCCCACCAATAGATGGAGCCTTCCACACAGGGATCTGCTTAAGGGGGATGCTATTATCACCCCGTTAAGCAGAACCCCCTGTGCATGAAGTTTTCCCCTCATCGGGGTCTAGTCCAGCCCTTCAAAGGGGTCTGCTCCCCCCCCCCAAAAAAAAATGGAACCACCCACACTGAGGTCTGGCCCAACCCTTTAGAGAGACGGTTATTCAGGGTTGAGCGGGTTAACCAGGGCTGAAAAGTGGGGGTCCCTGTTAACCGCTTATGACCCTTCAAACACATGATCTGTAAAGAAACATGCAAGTGGATTACCATCACCAGGGTCTAGTCCAGCCCTTCAGAAAACAAGCCAATCTATAAAGAGACATGAAGCTGGACCACCCTCATCGGGGTCTGGTCCAGCCCTTCACAAGACAAGTCAATTTGTCAAAGAAACACGTAGCTGGACCACGCACACCGGGGTCTAGTCCACCCCTTTAAAAACCAAGTCAAATAAATAATAAATATGGAACGGGAACTCCCACACTGAGGTCTAGTCCACCCCTTGAGAAAATTGGTCACCAAAATAAACACACAGTTGGATCACACACTCCAATGTCTGAGCCAATCTTTCAGAAAACAGTCATCGCAAAAAACATACAATTGGACCACCCTCACTGGGGTCTGGTCCAGCATTTTCAGAAAACAGTCACTGAGGTCAATCTCAACATTCCCCACCTATCCACCTCTTATTTTCAAGCGTCTCTTCTTGTAGACATTCTCATCTTTCAGTCTTAACACAACTCTTTGACTCAAGTCTTTAAATAATAAATATTAAAGTCTTTAAATAATAAATATTAAATAATGTATAAAAGGTATTTACTATATATTATAGCAATAGTCAGAAGCAATTCAGTAGAGGTTTGTAAAGATAAGGGTATATGGGTTATGATCAAGAGAACCTCTGCCTGCACATTGAGAATGGATGCTCATTTCTGTCCTGCCCCTCCTTTCCCCCCCCCCCCCCCCCCCCCCCCCCCCCCCCCCCCCCCCNAAACAGTTTGTCACAGCCCCTCGTTTGTTGTCCTCTTCTCTCTCTCTGCCTACGGTTTACCGGGCAGTTCTGTTTGTGACGATATATAAATATATATATATATATATATATATATATATATATATATATATATATATATATAATCTATAATCATCAATTGTTTGTTTGAGCTACTTCACTCTGCTTTCCGTGCCACAGTAGAAAGAAGCTTCAGCCGCAGGGCTTCCCCTCACCCTTTGGCCCTCCTCCTGCCCCCCACAAAAAAACAAGGCTACCGTAATTTATAGTTGCATGCCTAGCATGGTCTATGGCAGAGAAGCGATCTGGAATTCATATGGAACTTACATCAGCTGCGGCCAGCTTGTAGGTCAATCCCTCCACAATTCTTGATTGTTGCTCAAGCATTGCTGCAGAAACGCTCTGCTTGTGCCAATGTGATGCCACATAGTACTGAAGTGCGGCAGCCTTCATAGCCCACCGAGGGGCTATGGCCTTGAGGTCATTTATGTGAATAACAATCAGTCCACCTCCAATATCATTGCACAGGTCTCTCTTTTTGGAATGCCCATCTCTACCCGTAGCTCCGGTGAAAATGGTCGACATGTTTTCACAGTCACTCAAAGGCCTGAACATGAAGCGCCACGGAACAGCAGCAAAGTAGCACAAGCATCAACCATCAAGCATCAAGAATCAACCCTCTGACTTGCTTTTAGAGTCTATTTCATAATTCCAATGAGTGGATGACTAAATCCAGCAAACCAATGTGTTTCAGACTGATCGATCAGTGGATTGAATGATTGTCTTCTATATTTAATTGAATTCCGAGTGCACTTGCAGAACCCCCGTTTGTCATTAGCTGCTGAAACAAACCATCAACCCTGCCACCTTCATTCTAGGGCGATGATGTGTATGTCTGCGGAAGCACCTTCGTGCTATTGGTGGACACTTTTCTTCAGCACTCAGACAAGTGCACATGAGAGGGATACAGAGGGACCAAGGAAGAGGAGGGTGAAATGGGCTTTGCCACCTTCAATACACCCCTCCCCATTCATGGTACCTAATAATAGCACAGGTGGTGAGCTCAGAGAAATCACACAGATGGGCAAAGGCCTAGGTCAAGCAAAAGAGACAGACACAGAGACAGCCACACACACACACACACACAGAGAGAGAGAGAGAGAGAGAGAGAGAGAGAGAGAGAGAGAGAGAGAGAGAGAGAGAGAGAGAGAGAGAGAGAG